GTGGGGACTTCTTTTTCGTCGCTACACTCTTGCCAGAGTGGTCGTGGTCGTCACACCAGGTCCGGTGGCAAGTCTCACAATCCGTCGCCATTCCTCCCGCACTGCAGCCTTTCTTGTGCACTCGTGGAGTGGACCATTGAGTGCGGTTTTGATCTGGTCAGCCAAGCGCATGGGCGACCTGCCGCGCGCTCTTGTGCCCTCAACCTTCCCCTGCACGACAAGTCGTTCAACAGAAGCGACGTCTCCACGTGTTATATGGCCAAAGAAAGTGAGAATACGACTTTGGACGATGGAATGTGGGGACTGGGACGTGTAAAAGCGTTTTTAAAAACCTATTTACAGAAATACTATCCTTATCTTCTCATCATTTGCATATTGGCAAGCTAGGTGCGACCATCCGCCCCATAAAGCTAATACATGAATATTATCGTATAACCATCTGCATATTGGCAAGCTAGGCGAGCCCCATGATAAATGGGCGCCACAGATTAGCCGCCGACGTCATTACCTGCTAATTGGCCCGCGAGACAGGTTACTACATCGATAGCTAATTACGATGAGCCACAGTGCAAACGGAGCTAATCCTCGTCATCGTCGAACAACGACGGATCGAAAATCGGTCGATAAAAAATACGTCTGTAAACTGCGTTAAAATCATCCGCCGGTGTTTAATTTTGTAGCTTCGACATGTTTATGAATTTTGAAAAATAATAGTAAAATCATCTACTTTAGAATAATTTAATGCCCAAAAACAGATTAGACGGATGAAGACATGCGATGTTGTTCGACGACGACGACGTAAGGTCAAATCGTTTTAACCTAGTGCCTAGCAAGCTGAAGTGGCAATGGGCAGGGCACATAGTACTCAGAACTGACGGCCGATGGGGCAGCTAGGTTCTGGAGTGGAGGCCGCGTACCGGTAAGTGCAACGTAGGACGTTCATCTACAAGGTAGAGGTGGACCGACAACTTCATAAAGGTAGCAGGAAGGTGCATCCACAGGCCGCTACTAACCGTTCATTATGGTATTCATTGGGGGAAGCCTATGTTCAGCAGGCTGAAATGTGATGATGATGAATCTAGTGCCACTCACAGCTAGTCAAAGGCCGTCCCCACGAACTTCCATAACTACCAAGCCTGCGCTATCCGAAATAAGTAGTAAATCAATTAACGTATAGTTCTTCATCACGATCAGGTCATTTGATCTCCACTACACAGTACGACTCTCTCTAATTTACTGAGCTGATGATGTAGGATTTGGCATGCACTCCCCAAGCTGGCCAGACAGGAAGGCCTGATGTTCCCACATGTTTGTTGCTAGCGTGTTACATAGATCCTGGCTACACAGGAGTTGGTACAAATATAGATAACTGAGTTTCTTGCGCTGCTTTTTCTCAGCACTGGCCCATTTATTGTCCCGAAGCAGTGGTAGGGTAAATACTGGGACGTGTAAAAGTGATTTTTAGAAGCCTATTTACAAAAATAAATGAGTTTTTATGGTGTACAGTACATACAGTCTTAACTTGACTAGCTGTTAACCAAAATTACTTCGGCTCTTTTGCACTGTGGACGAGTAATTCCCCTNTTAGTACAGTTAATTATTACTCCTAAATACTACGATTTTACATTAAAGAAGGATAACAGTGCTGTTGGAATAATAAACCTTGATTGTGACGATGATCGACCGAGCGTGTATAGAAATACGCGTGTGCTCACAGGCGCGTGGCGGTCCTGACTGATTTGCAACTTGAAGTTGTCGCGCGCTGTAGGTAATTATCTCGGCCGGCATAGGCGAGTGACGGAGGCCTGCTATAGGTATGTTAATCTGGAATAAACAGTGATACTGTAAAGTTTCAACCCAATCCGTTCAGTAGTTTTTGCGTGAAAGAGTAACAAACATCCAGACATCCAAATATATAATCCGATTTGGTAACTACTAGTTACCAAATGAATATTAATTAATTAAAGTAAATAGGCACTTACAAGGCAGATATGTACCGTCCTAGACTGCATCTCACTTAACACCAGGTTCGATTGCGGTCAAATAAATGCCTTGTCTTGCATAAAAAAAAAATCGCGAACATGGGTATTACGAGCAAGTGTTACAGGTATACAGGTATTTTGGTATCTCCATCTTCCACCTTTTGGCATGCAAAATTATCAATTACCGAAGAATCCCTTTACATATTTAAAAAAAAAATCCTAATACAGAGATATTTCCTCAAATCAAAATAATTGGCGTGGAAATCATTTTTTTTAAGGAACGCGCGCTGGTAGCTTGAGGAGCTTTTCCAGCTTCAGCGGGCAGAGTGGCGAGTACAGAATGTACTCTAGCCGTTTGACGATCGTCGGTCATAGACCGACGTTTGCGATCGGGCCGTATCGAGCGCATAAGATCAGTGGCGAACCCAACTAGAGGGTTGCCCACCGATGCGGTGTTGAACCAAAGTCCAGCCTACAGCGGGCTCACTCTAGTGGGCCTACTTTCAATGTTATACCTAATTTACTTACTCTACGAGTAAAGTCAACAGCTAGTCTTATTTTAAGTACCAGACAGGTAGTTTTGTCAGAAGACTGTGCCTCATTTAAGTTGTAACAAGTCAGCTATTTTAACTCCGGAATGTGCGTGTAAGGCGTGAGCGGAAACCACGTGAGTGAAGGTTCCCGCGTAACTTTATTTAAGTAAGAGTATCTTAAGTGCATCCAAGATACATTGCTGTAATTTCCTTTGTGTTGTTCAATATAAATCTTAGCCATTTTAAAAAATAAACGAAACTGTCGCTTTTTTCCAAGTAATTTTGGAATTAAAACTGTCCTAAATGTCACGTTATCTAGGGGATGTACGCCCGTATTTACAAACATTACTATGAGGTCTCACAGTGCGCGTGGACGTACAGGGTGCCATACGAACCAATCACAGAGCTCTATTCAACGCTGAGCATTCGATTTTCTGCTTCACTTAAGCAAGCATCGTTTGTGAATACGGGCGATAATACATAATACATTATCCACGCCAAGGGAATACTAAATCTATCCCTAGGTACAACTAACTCTGACAAACAAAGGTTTATTGTCCTGACGCTGTAGTAGGATTAATGTGGGGACTTCTTCTTCATCGCTACACTCTTGCCAGAGTAGTCGTGGTCATCACACCAGGTCCGGTGGCAAGTCTCACAATCCGTCGCCAGTCCTCCCGCACTGCAGCCTTTCGTGTGCACTCGTGGAGTGGACCATTGAGTGCGGTTTTGACCTGGTCAGTCCAGCGCATGGGCGACCTGCCGCGCGCTCTTGTGCCCTCAACCTTTCCCTGCACGACAAGTCGTTCAACAGAAGCGACGTCTCCACGTGTTATATGGCCAAAGAAAGTGAGAATACGACTTTGGACGATGGAATGAAGCGTTTTTAAAAACCTATTTACAGAAATCCTATCCTTATCTTCTTATCATTTGCATATTGGCAAGCTAGGCGAGCCCCATGATAAATGGGCGCCACAGATTAGCCGCCGACGTCATTACCTGCTAATTGGCCCACGAGACAGGTTACTACATCGATAGCTAATTACGAGCCACAGTGTATGTGGAGACAGTAGCTAATGTCAAATCGTTTCAACCTAGTGCCTAGCAAGCTGAAGCGGCAATGGGCAGGGCACATAGTACGCAGAACTGACGGCCGATGGGGCAGCTAGGTTCTGGAGTGGAGGCCGCGTACCGGAAAGTGCAACGTAGGACGTTCATCTACAAGGTAGAGGTGGACCGACAACCTCATAAAGGTATCAGGAAGGTGCTGGATGCAGGCCGCTACTAACCGTTAATTATGGAAATCATTGGGGGAGGCCTATGTTCAGCAGTGGACGTTCTATGGCTGAAATTATGATGATAATGAACCTAGTGCCACTCACAGCTGGACAAAGGCTGCCCCCACGAACTTCCACAACAATCAAGATCACGTAAAATAGTAAGACACGGGTCTTAACGCGACGTTTATTAATGAGTTACAATATGTACTCACGGCTTGACGTTTCGGCTGCGATGCTGCAGCCGTGGTCACAAGCAGACTGGCGGTTCGCGGTATCGTCCGTTCGGGTGGGCTTGTCCGTTGGGTTCGTGTCTTACTATTTTAATTGAAATGGAACGCGAAAGTTTAAAATCTTATACCAAGATCACGATTAGGTTATTTGATCTCCACTGCACAGCACGACCCTCTTTAATTTACCGAGCGTAAATGTAGGATTTGGCATGCACTCGCACGCTGGCCAGACAATGACGCTTGATGTTCCCACATGTTTGTCTCTAGCGTCTTACATAGATCCTGGCTACACTGGAGTTGCAGCGCGAGAGGAGGGGACAGTCCTAACTGTACTGGCATTAAGACCCGGTTTTCTTCAAGGCGGAGCGGAGCGGAGAAGTGTTTGAATAACCAATCAGATTTCATTATTCCGCACAGCTCCTCGCCTGGCCTTAATCAAAGCTAGTTTACTTCGGCCTATTTGCACTGTGGACGAGTAATTCCCCTCATTAATTCAGACAAATATCCGCTAATGAGAGTCATCAATAGTATCAATACATCACCGCGGTTGCTGAGTTTATTGAACACATCCATTGTTCCATCGGTGTTTGAGTGACGGCCATTTATAATGTAATGTTTGTGGAAATTCAACCGCATTTAATTTATTTTTCCGGTTTAAAATTGAACAATATGATCTTTCAACAATATGATCACGAAGACGCGCCCCACCAAGTTTTGGTTGAGGGAAGCGCGGGGTGCGAGGAGTTTGATCCGAGCAATCCGAGCGTCATTATTGTAGTGTGCGTGTGCACTCATGCATAATTTAGCGTTAGACACTCAAACATTAGCGGAAGAATGGTGGGGCGCGTCTTCGTGAATGACACGATCTATAATTGTATATTGATTTCGATTTTAATTTGTACATAAAGTATTGAAACTGGCTGTGTTTGTAAACAGCAACAGAAATTATAAATCTGTTTATAAATGAAAGTTTGCTCAATTTTTAAAATATATTTTCTGATAAAATAAATAAAATCAGTCAATGAGTATTGTGGGATTTGGAGTTGTTGTTAACAGTGACCTTCATGTTTCACCTTAGCACCTGAGCACCGCAACCTGTAAGAAAACATACAATAAGTTATTTTTAGCGTAGGTGTTTACGTAAATTTATTAGATTAGAATTACTTTCTTTTGCACAAAACAATGTTTTTGTCATGTAATCACACTATATTTATGTCTAAACGGGACTATTCCCACCTCTCGTTCCCACCGCTGCAACTCCTGTGTAGCCAGGATCCACAGCTTGACCGCCAATAAAAACCCAACCAGTGAAGGTCAAGTTTGTCTCGGGAGTAGAACTCCATTCGTCGTTGGATAATATGATAATAAAGGCTGCGTTTCCACCAGAGATGTGCGAGGATGCGAAGCGAGGGATGTGTTTGTAAAAAACCAATAGAATCGCTTCATTTACCTCGCCTCGGTCGTCACAGCTCTGGTGGAAACGGTTCACCAGAGCTAGATTTTTGCGCATACAAAACCAGCGAGGGATGTATTATGAGAGGTTTGCTCATACACACATTAATATATCATAAGCCCTTGAAAAGGAGGCTGACAATAGTGACTGAGTTTCTTGCGCTGCTTCTTCTCAGTACTGGCCCATTTATTGTCCCGAAGCAGTGGTAGGGTGAATACTGGGACGTGTAAAAGTGCTTTTTAAAAGCCTATTTGAAAAAATAAATTAGTTTTATGAGTTTTTTGATTAGCATTTTCACAGCTACGCTACACATCCTCGTACCGTACTAGGATGAGTCGTACGACACATTTTCCTCGCACATCTCTTGTAGAAACGCAGCCTTAGCTTACCTGCATATGTTCCCATAAGTTTTGCCATTGGTGGCGCAGACGGGCGTGTAGTCGGCTGTACAGATGCAGCCGGCTGCGCTCGCCGTGCTCATCAGTAGAAACACCAGAAACAGGGCTGGAAGACGATATAAAAAATATAGGTTAGCTCATAACTTAGTCAATGCCTGATCGGAGCGGAACAGAAGGGATAACATTGATGTATTGACGTGACAAGGTGGACCGACGACATCACAAAGGTAGCGGGAAAGCGCTGGACGCACGCCGCTACCAACCGGGCAACATGGAAAGCATTGGGGGAGGCCTATGTTCAGCAGTGGACGTCCTATGGCTGAGATGATGATGATGATGATTATGACCTGACAGAGCATACAAATCTGAAGTTACCAGTTAGCCTATTATGGTAGAAAGGAATGAGAAAAATTTAAAATTCAGGCCAAGGTTGTGATTGTGACATTCGTCTTTTGGCAAGACCACCCGGAAAGAAAGATTCATTAATTTAGGTTTCTATTTTCTTAGTGATGACAGAAGCCACCAAGAGCTCTATCACGCTCTATGGTTTTATTTAACTTTTATAAATACAAGCACATAAACTTGTCTTATTTGACAAAAACTGATTGTTGACTAGCTGTGCCCGCGACTTCGTATGCGTAAAATTATGTAGTTTCAAAATTATTTCCCGTTTATGCAACCTCTTTCTTACTTTCTTTTGGAGCCGTATCTCCGCCCCTATTGACCATAGGCTGATTTTAAATCTAAAGCCTTCCTCTATAAATGGGTTAGCCAACACAATTTTTTTTCTAATCCGACCAGTAGTTCTGGAGATTAGCTCGATTAAACAAACTCTTCAGTTTTATAATATTAGTATAGATCAAGTATAGATAATTGCTATAAAAAGAACTTTAAACTCACCGTAAAAGATCTTCATTCTGGACCGAGTGAACGTGGAGTGAACTGTGGTAGACCGTACTTACAGCAGTGAGGGCTTCTGTTAAGCGTGGCCCTTTATAAACTTGTGAAGGAGGAAAAAGCAACACAAGTACATGAAACAACTTGTTTGGAATCCCCCTGCTAGGGTTGACTCTTGGGTTGGATGACCTTATTTTGTGAGGTTTGTGATCTTTTGATAGGTACAAAAAATACTGAAGGACAGTCTGTTCATCTATACTAATATGATAAAGAGGTAAAGTTTGTGTGTTTGTATATTTGTTCAATTGTAAGGGGTAATCTCGTCGGGATGTACTCAACCGATTTTAAAGTCCAAAGGTTGAATTCAGTCATCCAGAAGTTTATTTTTGGGAAACATAAAATTAGTTATGTACTTAATAATATATTAAATATTACTTAATAGCATTAAAAATGTATAAAATACTAGCTTTCCGCCCGCGGCGTCGCCCACGTGGAATTTTGTCTGTCATAGAAAAACTTTATCGCGCGCGTACTTACCTGTTTCAAAAACCGGGATAAAAACCATGCTATGTCCTTTCCCAGGACTCAAACTATCTCTATACCAAATGTCTAAATCGGTTCAGTGGTTTAGGCGTGAAAGCAAGACAGGCAGACAGAGTAGACTAATAAAGTTTTGATCTTACTTTTGTTGGAAAATATTAATTATACATGTGCTGTATTAAACAGTGTGAGTCTCGATAAAGTGCACATATGAAATTAGGTGAAACTAGACCTATTTTTATCGACAAAAAAGAGTTCAAAATTTTTCTTTCAATTACTTATTGTAAAGAAAACGTAATAACTTTTAAACTAAGAGGTATATCCTGATAAAATAATGATTTTGTATCGTCTGTTATTTAGCATTATTACTGTTTTTATTTTATCAGGATATACCTCTTAGTTTAAAAGTTATTCTTTACAATAAGTAATTGGAAGAAAAAAATTCAATAAAAAATTAAAAAAAAAATCAAAATTTCTTTGACCTCTATTTTGTCTATAAAAATAGGTCTAGTTTCACCTAATTTCATATGTACACTTCATCGTGCAATGAAAAAAATAAAAAATGCAATAAAAAAATACAGTGTGAGTACACTGTATTTTTTTATTGCATTTTTGTATTTATTAATTAAAAACAATGGGAACCCTGGGGATGCGTAAAGAATTTCTTTTTGCTTATTCAACAGGTTGAGCGGGAGTATTTTTAGACTGTCCTATGCTATATGTCTAGCGGTTAACTCAGTCAGCCTGAGGTATGGGAGCGGCACGAGAGGGTGTTTTTGTAACATCAAATGTCAGCGAGACTTCAGATCTTCAGATTTATATGCTCTGTCACGTTATAATAATATGAATTTAAACTTTCGTCATCACTCCGCAACAAACACGTTCTTACTTGCATAGACCCGTTATTGTATTTAGCGAGCCGTTCAAAGTTTGGCTTAGTAACGTTATGCTTTAACGCTAGATGGCGTTAGAAGGCAATTTTGAAGAAGTGGTCTATTTTATCTTGTAGTTTACGTGTCTTTTAGTTAGATGGCGTTGATAACTCATTTTTGGGAAAGATTCGTTTAGTAACGGTTTAACTTTAAAGGTGCGATATGTCAATGTCACCTCTCCCTACATCTATAGGTAGTATAGGGATGTTATGGATATGTAGTGTCGGTGATGGGTACGGTTACGGATATAGGAATAATATTATACGGGTTTCGGTTTCGGTTACGGTTACAGATATTTTTTTATTTCGGATATCCGAAAGTTTCGGTTACGGTTACGGATATCTGTGCTTTAGAATGCAATTTGCAATAGTTGTCCAACACGGTTCATTCATGGCCACTTGTAGATTTTATTATCCTACCAAAAACATAAAATGTAAAAAAGGAGAGCCAAGTTCAATACAAAAAATAATTATGCGTGGCTGTGGGATTCGCCGTAAAAATAATGGAGATCTAAAAGAGTGCCAAGTTCTATGCAAAATCCAAATAAAGGAACAAAATAATTTGACTTGGCCCATTTTTTATTTTCTTATATTTTCTGATATTTCCATATATTTTGCGATTATAACATAAATTATAATCTGCTCACAATTGATTATTAGCTACCTTCCTAATACATTTTGCTTTGTATTAGTAATGACTTTCCCTACAAGTGTAAATGATTGAGACCTTTTCCTTAAAAGTTTTTATTTATTGGTAGTTGCTCAGTCTTCTTCGTCGTCTTGGTCGTCAGGTACTTTTGTTGGGTAACGGGGAACTATGCCGCATTGGCCGTTATTCTTCCACTTTGCGCCGGCGCATTGCATTCTGTAAATGAGAAAACAGCATTGATGTGAATAGGCAAAGGCATACTAAATCAACTAAAAACGGTACTGAAAAATAAGGATTTATCTGTATGTACAGGCAGCGTCAAATAGTTCGTTACACCCAAAGTCTTTGTTCGTTCGTTCGTTTCAGCCAAATGACGTCCACTGCTGGACAAAGGCTTCCTCCAAAGTTTTCCACAATGCACGGTCCTGCGCTGCCAGCATCCAGGCTCTTCCCGCGACCTTTACGAGATCATCGGTCCACCTAGTAGGAGGCCTGCCCACGCTACGACTTCCAGCCCGTGGTCGCCACTCGAGAACTTTTCTGCCCCAACGGCCATCGTCTCTCTCTACGAGCTATGTGCCCCGCCCTTGGTTTTAGCAATTCTGCGAGCTATGTCGGTCACTTTGGTTCTCCTGCGGTTTTTGCGGTTGCGCAGATGTCTTTGTTACAATAGGAATATGGTTGTGATGTCAACTTATTGGCCACTTTGGGTTTTGCGAACTATTTGACGCTGACTGTACCTATCCATCTCTTGTACTACTTTTAATGCAAATAAATACTCTAAGAGTAGGCGCACACCGTTGATTTTTCTTCGGCCGATAGTTTAGTCGGGCAGTTGATCAGTATGGGCATGTATGGGAGTGCGCACACTACGCCGATTCGATTTGGCCGATTCTTCATACAATTTAAAATCGGGCACAACTATCGGCCAACTAAAAATCAACGGTGTGCGCCTACTCTAAGACTGGGTTGCACTATCTTACTTTAACTTTAACAAACGTCTAAAGTCTGTCAAACTCCATATAAACCTGTTATAGAGTCATAAATAAAGTGGTACAACTCAGCCTAAAGTTTCTATTTAATTCTATTCTATTATGATAAAACGGACTAACAAGCTAAAGTGGCAATAGGCAGGGCACATAGAACGCAGGACTGACGGCCGATAGAGCAGCAACACCAACAAGGTGGACCGACGACCTCAAAAAGGTCGCTACCAACCGGTCATTATGGAAATCATTGATGGCGGCCTATGTTCAGCTGTCATAGATGGCTGAAATCATAATGATGATGAGCCATTTAATTTTCTCTGTTGTTGCCGATTCCGATTCCGGGTATTCTCAATTTCATCTTAGACCTGACCATCATCAGGTACGATGCAGAAAGAGCTACCACTTTTATTTAATAAATAAAAAGAAAGAATAAATATAAAGTGTATACTGACTTGCACAAGTTCCGGTATGTCTTGCCATTGGTGGCACACACGGGTTTGTATCCAGGTTGACAGTTATTGCAGTCGATGGCATCAGCCGTCATAAAGCTTGTGATGATCAACACCAGGGCCAGGGCTGAAAATAAATATATGACTAAATAAATGTTCTTGGACATTTTACAAGAAATACAGGTTATGGTGTGAGAGAGCTGATCTTCCCTGCACTTCTCCCTATGTCTGGGAGTCCTCCACCTGGACATGAGCTCCCCTGGCTTACTTGGAATTCTTTAAATATACTTCGGACAATCTGTTCAGTTGGGTATTCTGGGATGGCTCAAACTTGGAGTGCGAGTGCGGTTTTGTTCCCCAGTCGATGGAGCACATGATGTCGTGCCCTGCGTGCCTAAACAACTGCACGCGGGAAGATTTAATAAATGCTTCTGACAACGCCACTCTTATAGCGGAGTTTTGGGCTGACACTGTATAGGTTTGTTGTCGAAACGACAAGAAGAAAAAGATTGCGCCTCTAGTCCCAAAGTAAGGCTTGTATTTACTATGGGTACTAGATATCGGATGTACTTCGTTCGTTTCAGCCGAAAGACGTCCACTGCTGGACAAAGGCCTCCCCCAAGGATTTCCACAAAGACCGGTCCTGCGCCGCTTGCATCCAGGTACTTCCCGCGACCTTCACCAGATCGTCGGTCCACCTAGTGGGAGGCCTGCCCACGCTTACTTACGGATGTACTTACCAAAGTAAAATAACTTCATTTTCAATAACGGAAAATATCTTTGAGCACTTCACAATGTGATTAATAACTATCTGTCTTCATAGTTGAACTGCTTTTATACTGCTAGAGGCCAAAAACAACACCCCAACCTTCTTGCTTTTTGCGTCACGCATTAAAAATAAATGAAACTTATGTAAATATGTACAGGTGTTGGTTTTCAATCGAAAAGGTTTCAATAATTTAAGGCTGGGTTGCACCATCTTATTTTAACTTTGACAAACCTCAAAAATCTGTCAAACTCCATTCACCAAAGCACCGGTTACCGTTAAAGTGAGGTGGTGCAACTCAACCTAAGAATTTCGAATTCAAATCTGCGAGCTATGAATCATTTTGGAAATAATACTGAATAGTAAGTTAAATATTAGTAAGCATTTATAAAACCATTTTCTATGTACATATATTTCATATTTCGATGGCTCCTACGTATATAGGCGAAACTGCCACTTATTACGCCTGTTTCCAATTATCTATAACATCAATAAAAAAAAAAATTGTTTCCATTAGATACAAAATAAAATTTTAGACAAATAGGCGTATGTGCAAAACTACTTGCTCTCAGAACTGACGGCCGATGGGGAAGGACGGTTTTGAAATGGACGCCACGTTGGACGTCCTCCCATAAAGTGGACAGGTGACCCCATGGAGGTTGCAGTAAGGTGCTGCCATCTGGCCGATCTGGAAGATCTCATTGGGGGAGGCCTATGGCACAACCTTGATCAGCAGTGGACGTCTTGTAGGTGAACTGATAACGTTGCGGTAATAGTCTCAGAAAAAAAATATGATGCAAAGACTGGGATATTTCATATTTCACTTTGAAAATCGATATTTATTATGTAGGTACTTACAGCCAAACCTGACTTACAAACAAGCATTACTGGCTTGTATTTTCGTAATTAAATACCATAGTATATACAGAGTAAAATCTTTCTTCAAATACGAGTACATAGACAGAACTAGATTTAAATAGCTTAGCGCCGGTCTTAAAATCTGTTATTGTGCCCCGCTAGGTAAATTCCAAGAGACCATCGCAATTTGTTCCATTTGTTCGTATGACATTCCAAATTTTGTTACCTACGGACGTCTACGCACGTGAGTTTTATTTAATTTGCAATATAAACTTACGAATATAGTCTACTAGCTTTCCGCCCGCGGCTTCGCCCGCGTGGAATTTTGTCTGTCACAGAAAAACTTTATCGCACGCATCCCTGTTTCAAAAACTGGGATAAAAACTATCCTATGTCCTTTCCCGGGACTCCAACTATCTCTATGCCAAATTCCATCAAAATCGGTTCAATGGTTTAGACGTGAAAGCAAGACAGACAGAGTTACTTTCGCATTTATAATATTAGTATAGATACAATCGAGTATACCTAATGGGTATTGTTTTGTCTTTCAGTATTGTAATGACTTTCCTTACAAGTGTAAATGATACATTACACCTTTTCCTTAAACGTTTATTAATTGGTACAAATGCTCAGTTTATGTTTCTAGGCTTGTTCACAATTAAAACGAGCTGTCACTTCCACAAGCGCCTTTATGCTTCAACTTTGCGCCTGCGCATCCCAATCTGTGAATAAGAAATAAGTATTGATATAAAAGGGAATCTGTCCGCCGAGTCACCAATAAAAGAGAGCGTATAAGGCGACTAATTAAAAGAAAGCAAGCGAAAGGTTCGATTCCCGCCTTAGGCAGTTCGATATTTTCAAGTTATTTATAACTAGCTTTCCGCCCGCGGCTTCACCCGCGTGGATTTTTGTCTATCACAGAAAAACTTTATCGCGCGCGTTCTTGTTTCAAAAACAGGGATAAAAACTATCCTATGTCCTTTTCCGGGACTCACTCAAACTATCTGTATGCCAGGCCATCAAGCCAAATACCACCAGAGTCAGAACTATAAGTAAATATATAAAATCCAGAGTATATACTAACTGGCACGAGTTGCTGTAAGTCTGTCCATTGGTGGAACACACAGGGTCGAACACAGCCGGGCAGATGCAGGCTGCGTCAGCCGTCATCATGCTTGCGATGAACATCACCAGGGTCAGGGCTGAAAGTCGATATATGAATTAATAATATGCGCTAGAAATGGGGAGATATGAGACAAAACTATCTGACGGTCCAATCATCTGTCCTCCAAAGCATGAGTAGCGTATTTATTCATCATCATCATCATTTCAGCCATAGGACGTCCACTGCTGAACATAGGCCTCCCCCAATGCTTTCCATGACGATCGAGTGGTAGCGGCCTGCGTCCAGAGAAGAGAGGAGGTCAATCGTCCAATCCAACTCGGCTGGGCAGCGTTCGGGAAACTACGCAATATCTTTTCGTCCAAAACACCTCAGTGCCTGAAGACGAAAGTCTACAACCAATGTGTGTTACCTGTGATGACTTATGGCTCTCACTATAGGCCTTGAACAGAAGCACAAGGTATTTATTCATTAGAAATAAATCGCGTTGAATCATTTAAATAAACATATGAGGTATTTTAATCATCTAAATTTAATTCTACTCATAGGTGTCGTAATCTTACCTTATTCATTTGAAATATTATTTAATTACACCTACATAATTTCTAGCGATAAGGAAGTTATTCAAATACCTACCACGCTACCAATATTTTTGGGGATTCCCTACACGCACACAAACTCAAGAAATTCTCACTCTACTTATTGTTTGTCAAGTATTTAACAAGATAATAAGTTTGCTTAACTTTTTCAGGGTTCCGTAGTCCTGACAAGGAACCCTTATAGTTTCGATAATTCTGTCTGTCTGTCCGAGGTTTCGCTAGGAAACTGTTGGTACTAGAGAGCTGTAATTTTGTGGAGGTATGTATATTAATCACGCCGACAAAACAAAATTTTGAAAAATTTTTTTTTTAGTGTAGCTCCCCTACCTACATGTAAAGTAGGGATGATTTTTTTTTCATCTTCTACTCCATCGAGTGGGATATCCTTGGATAGGTCTCTTAAAATGGATTAGGGGTTTCTAAGACTATTTTTCCATTTAGGGATCCGTTTGCAAAATATTAAAGTTTAAAGTGCTAATTTTTGTTCGAGTAGGGCGTCCCCCCTCCCTCTAAAAACTAAACTGTTGGCTTGAAAAATGTGGAAAAATTCGTAATAATGCAACTTTTCATGAACTTTCAAGGAAAACTATAACGGTTAAGATACATCAGTTAGTTTAAGAGTAATAGTCATTTAACTAGTTCTAGTTCCCTGTGGTTGAGGATTTCGTATGAAGCTCGCGTCTTCGGCCTGATCATCACTTCCCATTAGAGAGAGATTCCTCGTCGTGGATAAGAAAAAAAACTGCATGTACTCACCATAGTAAAATAGCTTCATTTTTAAATCGTAAACAGGAAAAACCTCGTGCGCAGTTCACAATGTGAGTGATGTAGTCTTCTTAGCGTATTTGCTTTTAAACTCTAAGGAGCAGGAAAACCTACCTATATTTACCTGGTGACTCTTTGTAGGTACTTTTTGTTAATTTGTCATTATTGTTAAGCAATATAGGGTTGCGTAAAGAATGTACGCATTTTTTTCTGTAAATAGGCTTTTTTTAAAGCGCTTGGAGAGTACTTTTAATACTGTAGATAGAAAATTTTACTCAAAGAAAAAAATCCTTTATTTTTTAATAGAAATAGAAGAGCATTCAAAGATTTCGATTTTTTTTTCGAAAATTCACCACCATGCCTACCTACCAGACAAGGTACAATTTTCTGTAAATAATTAAAATAAAGATTTCATGGTTTTCCTTTCATTTGATTTATCAAGTTTGTTAGAGATATTTATTCTCATACGTAAACCTAACGATCGATGTAACAAAAATACGGGGTGAGGCAAGCAAATTTTTAGAAATCATTGAATGCAGTTCTATTTCTTTTCTTAAATTAAGGAATGTTAAATTATCACTTCACGGGATTTATTGCAACAATATCTATTTTAACGGTAAATAAGATGTTTACCCTCCCGACGTTTCGGCTCGGTTGCACGAGTCATGGTCGCGGGCAGACTGAAGAGATGCGGCGTCGTCTGCTCAGGCGCAATGAATTAAGGAATATTTCCTTTGAGTAAAATTTTCTATCTACAATATTAGGAGTACTTTCCCTCCAGGCGGCATTAAAAAATTCCACCCTGTATATAGCGAATGAATATGGACAAAACAAAGCTTATGTCCCATGTCCAGGTTGCGCCCTACCCAGTTTCGGTTAGGAACTCAATCCAATGTATGTCTATACCTCGGACAAACGATTCAGCTAGGTAGGTCAAACGAGAAAGAGGTCAATCGTCGAATCCAACTCGGCTGGGCAGCGTTCGGGAAACTACGCAACATCTTTTTGTCCAAAATACCTCGGTGCCTGAAGACTAAAATCTACAACCAAGGTGTGTTACCAGTGATGACTTATGGTTCGGAAACATGGCCTCTCACTATAGGCCTTAAGAAGCTCAAAAGTTGCACAGCGCGCTATGGAGAGGTTATGCTCGGTGTTTCTTTACGAGATCGAATCAAAAATGAGGAGATCCGTAAACGAACTAAAGTCGCTGATATAGCCCGACGGATTGCGACTGCATTGGGCAGGGCACATAGTACGCAGAACTGACGGCCGATGGGGCAGCAGGTTCTGGAGTGGAGGCCGCGTACCGGGAAACAGCGTGGGACGTCCACTCACAAGGTGGCCCGACGACATCATAAAGGTAGCAGGAAGGCGCTGGACGCAGGCCGCTACCAACCGGGCAACATGGAAAGCATTGGGGGAGGCCTATGTTCAGCAGTCATGGACGTCCTATGGCTGAGATGATGCGATGATGAGCTATAATATTTTCTCTTAAATATAAATAAATATTAAATAAATAATCGAACAAATTAATACACCTTAATGATTTTGTGTTATAATATCTTAACACGGCTTATCAGCTTAGTGCAATCTTATAAATGCTTACAACTATTCATGGTGAATTCATCTTTATAAAGATGTCCCAAAATTAAAGAAACTTTTCAACTATCTATAAAATATAGTTTTCAACCGACTTCAAAAAAAGGAGGAGGTTCTCAATTCAACCCGTATNCGAGACTTTGGCCTCGAGAATTCCCGAAACTCGAGAAAAAAAATAAGTCGAGAAATCAGAAACCCTAGTTCTACGATTTTTCGTAGTTTAGAAGTTATCGTTAATTTGTGATTTTTTTATGACCTAGTAGATAGGCTTTAGAATTTTTTATATTTTTTGACAGATACAGATGTTTGAAGAAAATAATCACCTTCTTATCTTTGATGCAAGATACATCCATAGCTAGCCATATTCACAGAGATAAAAGTAGGGAACAATACCTATTATTTAAGATAAACAAGAGACTCCCATAAAGAAAGTACCTACACTAAGTTTGTGTAGTTATACCTATTATTATTATTTATATTTGGATGTAATATAGAGACGTGAATAGTGTTGAGGCTCATGAACAAGACCCACCACCCGACACGAGTGTCGCCGAGTCTCCAACACTGGCTCCAGGTCCAGAGGCCACTCCATCGCACTAAATAATTTAATTTACACGTGTTTTCATGCGATGGCCAAGTCAATATATTTATTTAAAACGTTATAGATTTCCTGGCCTGGACTTGGTATTACCACAGAATAATAATAAGTACTACGTACAGAAGTTTTACTTCGCGAAGGTATTTAAAAAAAAATATGCTCAATGTCATTTAACAATATGGTGTAATTTAGCCTGTCTCAAGAGTCAAGCACCATTTTGTTGACAAACGTCAGTGATCGGCACTGCGCCGAAGCTATAGGGCTGACTTCGGTAAAATGATGTGACGTGAGGTGCCAAACTGCGGAAAATGGCGGAGGAAAGGGTCCGTGGCCGAGTCCCCCAGTATTCGACGCACCTGTGGTTGAAGCCCCCGATTTAAATAAATTTAATATCATATTTTTTTCGGCTTTTGCACTAAGTACAGTCAACAAAAACCATGCATGTTTGACGCTATTTAAAATGATATATTAAATTTTTTGTTAAAAATACTTAAAACTTTTATAATTAAAACTTTTATTTGTAGTTAGTTAAATGTAGAGAGAGTAGAGTTATTTTAAAGACTGATTGTTACAATTATTTTGATTAGGTAAAACGATTTACATGTTATTATAGGTAAATAAAACCTATGATAAAATATGATAGGTTAAAATAAAACCTATTATATTTTTAGGTATCAATATGGTAAAATAATATTAAACATTTATTTGTACGATCAGTATAAATATTTATTCGTTTATAAATATTTTTGTGACTGACTGTACATTTGATTAAAAATTGCTTCTATCTGACCGGGGGCATCGACCACGGGTGCTTCGAACACAGGGGGACTCGGCCACGGACCCGGAGGAAGGGTATACATGATTTAGCATGAATTATCATGAATAATATTAACTACTTATTTGCCTCTCAGTTAACTTAAAAAAGTACATTCTGTGTTTTTATTATTATTTAGGCAGTTAAATACTGCACAGTATTTAGTACACCATTTTCTTTATTTTCTTCCATCATACACAAGAATACGCGTGCGTGAGTCAATGTTCGCTCGTAAGTATGTGAGGCCTTGTCGAATAGTATCCTGTAGGTGGGCCATCGTACGTGTTTTGTTTTCAATGTAAACTCGCGGAGATGAACAGGCCTGGTATTACATGGATCTCACAACTTTTTACCGTAGAACAACTGAGTTGCGAGACTTGGTTTTTTTGACAAGTATTGTTTTTGATGAGATCTCATTTCTTTTTGTTTTTTGTAAACAGTTCTACTTTTTCCTTTTCGGTACCTTCTACTTATTGTATGTACCTATATCTAACCAGCAACGAATTTTCTTAAAGTCCTCTCTCTGACTTATGAAATTTTCTTATTTTTGTAGGTAGCCTTCCGTTTTCTCTTTTCCGGTTCTACTTCTTGAGCTGAAAACTGGACCGAAGTTGAAAAATGTTACTCGACTTGGCGGGGACACTACCGTGTGCCTTTATATTTAATTTTATATGATATTACAAACTTATTTAGGTAAGTAGTTAAAGACAATAGATATTTAAAAATACAATAAAAAGTAAAAAAAAGTCTCCATCGTCATCGCCAAAAAGTGATGTGCATGCGTTACAAAGTTACGATAATTAGTGGTGTGTTTAACAGATTGTCGATAAAATAAAATACCTACTCAAGATTAAAAAACAAAATTTTCAGGCATTATTTTTTTACGGATTTGTGTTCAGTATCAGTAATATAGTTACCTCTGTAAATATGGCAAGAATGCAAAGGAACATCCTGTAAAGTGGAATTTTTTAGAATTCAGCAGAAACTTAAACAAATATGGCCAACTGACATTAAAACATTTTTAATCTGTGCCCTAGTGAGGCGACAAAACCTCTCGTTAATCGCGAATTGAAATTATTGCAGTAGTTATGTACCTATAGAAAGAATGTATAATGCTTTATAAAGCAGTGCATTAATTAATTACTAGTAGTAGTACATTCAATGAAGAAAAAATACATTGTTAATTAAGACCCTATTTAAATCTATTTAAATGCAATCAGTAATAAAAATGATTGAATAATTGAAATAAAATCGATTAAATTTACCGATTATTGTCTATAACTTACAGGTTACAACACTGGTGTCAGAGACAATATGGAGATAACATATAATTTTAAACGACAAGTCAATTTGACAAGTCTCACAAATTTTCATTGTCCACGTATTTTGCTAAAATAATTAGTTTCAAAGATTGATTTCAAGCTCGCATAATCGTGAGAATAAAGTTGGTTTCATGGGCTTGTGAAATAATGTGTATGATATAATCAACACGTATGTGATTATGGTGTAATTGTGTATGTAAGTGTTTGTTTACATCTCTGCTGGATTCTAAAAAATCAAGGTATAGAATACCAATAGGTACTTACTTGTTATGGTTTTTACTCAACATTTTTCAAAAACGATTTAGTACGAGTAAGTATCGATACTTGTCGACCGATACTGTAATACATTGAATAAAATAACAAAAAATAAAAACACTCGATTTCATAAAAAAAAAATATTTTTATGTTGACGTTAAGTAAAAATAAAATTGTTCCTACTGTGCAACTCCACTCTTTTTTGTTCTTTTTTGTGCTGTCATTTTATGGGTTTATTCCACTTTGTTCACCTGAATTGAGTCGACATTAGCAGTCGCCTAGAAAACCCAGGTGAACAGATGCGACTATTTTCATTGATCAAGTGGACTTAATTATTTCACCGACATAAAGCATGCTAATTATATTGCTTAAAATTGTTCTGAATTATTATTTGTGTGCAATTTATGATGTAAGTATGTCAATTAAACATAATTATGCCAATAAATATGTTTCAATGTGTCACTAGTTAGATCACTACGAGGTATGTATTGTTTTACAGTGTTATATTTCCTGTGACATGATATTATATAGGTATACAAATTTTATTACTTGTGATTACCATTAAACTGATTTAAATATTAATTTGACAGTTTCTGATGTAAATTATCACTCCACGGGATTTTAAAACAAAAACTATAACGGTAAATAAGATCCCATCAAAAACAATACTTGTCAAAAAAACCAAGTCTCGCAACTCAGTTGTTCTGTTGTGAGATAATAAAATTAAATATTAAATTTTCATACAAATCGGATCTTATAAAAATTATTTTGTATGAAAATTAAAAAAAAATAAAATGATGATATCAAATTTCTGACTTCACCATACCATTTATATGCCCATGTTAACATGGGCTAGTGTCGGCTCATATACCCATTTACCTAACACCCTGTATTGATTCTTTTTGATATTAGTATCCAAGTGTTATTGTTACATTCAGTTTTGCTAATAAAAATAAATGAAACCGCCTATTTCCAATAGATCTTCTGTACCGAGAATGCAACCTGCTTAGCTTCAGATAATTCTTCATTCAATTAACCTTTACCTCAGTCCACAAATCTGTATTAAACTCCGATTTAAGCAACTCCTGTCAAAAAAGATTTTTTACAATCCCAGTACCACTAACTAGAACTTCATTTTCCCATCGTTTCAACTCGTTTCTCAGCCCATTTATTTATAACTAGCGGCCGCCCGCGACTTCGTACGCGTGGATCCCGTTTTACCCCCTTCATCTATCTTACTTGGTTTAGATTTTTTCATACAAATGTTTTTTCCCGCTAACTCCCGTTCCCGTGGAATTTTGCAATATCCTATTGTAACTAAGCTTTAAGTTTACTAAGGTACCTGCATGCTAAATTTCAAGCGTCTAACTTAACCCTTTATAGGACGGCCCATACAAAGTGGCCAATAAACTGGACAGTCACTTTACGGCCGATAATTCAATGATTTTTGTAACAATGTCGAACCTTATGATCATAAACGATAGCCAATAAAGCACGCTGGCCTAGAAACGAGCCAGCGCTCAAGGACGTCGCACGCAATCAAAAATTCGCGCTCTTTTTTAAGGTGGCCTGTCAACTGGCCACTGTGCACACCCGTACTAGTATTTGCTGCCATTGCAAGCAGACGATAGATATTTCCGAGTGTAGTTCAATGTAAAAACATTTCTTCGTAAAGAAGATGAGTAAAATAATAATGTTATAGTATATACTTTATCATCACGTGAAAATATAGTCGAAAACCGTAAAATAAACATGTTATTTTTGCAATTAAAAACAGACTAGTGTGTTGAAAAAGCCTTGTGTAGAAATTACACATGTGAATTTGAGGTGGTCTCATATTTATATGTTTTGATTTTTACACACAAATTATATCGTTTTATACTGAGTATATTATTAATTTTTATAATACAATAACATAATAAGCCCAAATATACGGGTTCGGTAGTTATACCCCATTATTATAACTGTTTAGGTATTTTTTCATACAAAATTATGTATATTTGTGGATAATGTATATAATAATCCTGGGTTTATTGAGTTTTCATTCACGTTTTTTTATTTTATAACATAATATTGTCTCTAAATTATTATATAATGTTTACTTTAGTTGACAAAACTTTTAATTTTGTTTTTTTCATGTTATTTTTGGCTCAGAAGAAGAAATACAATCATTTTATTTGATACTTTGTTGAATATTATGTTTTTAGCCTAATTAAAGATTGATAACTAAATACGCAATTATTTTATTTAGTTTAATATGTAATTTACATAAAAATAACCGGTTTTTTTTATAAGTGTCCAGTTTACTGGCCAGTGATTTCACATGAATATTGGTGATTTTAGTGATGCAGAACGGTCAGTGGTCAGTATACTGACCACTAGTTTTTTTGTATTTTCTCGTAAAATATCTAGTTTCTGATAATTTTATTACTACATGTTGTTATAAATAACGCTATAGAATATATATCCACTTAGAAATATAGCGAATTCAAAAAAAAGTTAGGGTGTGCGTTAAAGGGTTAAGCGGTTTAGATTTTTGATACAAAAGGATTTTCCCGCGAATTCCGGTTCCCGTGGGAATTCCTAAGTATACTATAACCTGCCCAGGAGTACGAAGAATAATTGTACCAATTTTCGTTAAAATCCGTCGAGTAGTTTTTGTTTCTATAAGGAACATACAGACGGACAGACAGACAGACAGACAGACAAAAATTTTACTGATTGCATTTTTGGCATCAGTATCGATCACTAATCACCCCCTGATAGTTATTTTGAAAATATATTTCATGTACAGAATTGACCTTTCTACAGATTTATTATAAGTATAGATAAAATAGTTAAATTCTGCAACATAAAAGACAAACCTACTGGAGAGGCTAAACACAAAATAGGAACATAGCTTACCTCACTAAACTACGAAAACACAGAGCATTTCATAATAATAGTACAATAAATAAAATGTGAAACCAACTATATTATACTTACACTTCATTATGTTTTATCACTAATCAATAATTAGTTTACCTATACAACACATACTTATAAAACAAACAGCACAATAATTGATTTGTTATTGTTTTTATGTTATAATAATAGTTTTAATAGTTTTAAGTAGGTACCTAAAATATTGTAAAGTTATCTCCTGGCCTCCACGAGACAGGCTTGCCTAGTGTGGGTGGAGTCCAAGATTAATCTGACATGTACGATCTTTGAACGTACAATTAATTTAGGTTGTTTATGTCAGCAATACGCGCCGACCGCGGCGCGGTGGCATCAACTTACAGTAAACTTTATTTCAATTTTTCATTGATTTTACATTTAGTGTTTATTCGGTCACCAAACCAACCACGCGTAATCACTCATACCTTTTCACCATTTCGCACCATCTTAACCTAAATAGTTTAGACCTTGTAATAGTGTTAGTTATTGCAATAAACTCTTTGTCATAGCAACCAGTGACTTTCCATCCACCATTCCTTTCTTTGAATGTGCGTACCGTACAGACAAATGTAATTGTTTTCTCTGCAATAAACGATTTTATTATTATTATTATCTAAACCGAGATGAAAATCAATTAAAAAAGCCTTTTTCTTAGACAATTCATTTATTCAATCAGTATTAGGTATCTTTTCGTTTGGCCAAATTATTTTTCGCCATATTTCACTTTGCAAAAATCTTAGTACTAGTTTCTTTCCCCAAATTATTTTTTGGGAACTGTACTTTCCACACCTAATTCATTTGATCATTTGCAAAATTTTACTTGGTCAAGTATTACTCAAATCAAAGCATATTAAGGCACATGATCATGGTTTTATTGTACAAGAATTTTGCGAATTGAAACATTTGGTTAAATAATATCTGTCTAAATGAAACATGCCCAAACAATAATTTGCTATAATTGAGATTTTGTAATTATACATTTGCAATAAGTTGTTTGTAAAATTAATAATTGCCAAAGTCATCGTGTCCGGGTTCTCTGCAAGGGCCTCTGTGCACCATATATGCTTTAGCGCAGTACAAACTGCAAAAGAGAAATGACATTATTAACATTAAATTTTAATAGGCCTTGCATGTTGCAATCGTTTCGACTAGAGGACGGTACTATTCTAACCTATCGTTCCCACCGCTGCAACTTCTGTATACCCAGATCTACAGCTTGGCCGCCAATAAAAACCCAACCAGTGAAGGTACAGTTTGTCTCGGGGAAAAGTTAAACTGTCACTGGACCCGCAACGAAATTAATCAGAATGTATTGTTATGTAGAAATGTGTTAATTTTTTTTAATAAAGTTAATTTTTTTATTAAGTTTTCTTTAGTCCGTATTTTATGCGTCTCAACTGGGGCACTCCGCTGCTCGCTCATTCAGTAGAGTAGTCGTACGCGCTCACACATTGCCCCGATCTGTCTGTTATTACTTATTTAGCTCAGGTCCGATTTGAAGAAATATTGTGTTGTATTAATGTTTTGTGTTGGATTAGAGAAAGCCATCACGCTACTTCTTTTTCATCTTCTTAATTCGTTACGCTCTTGGCAGAGCGGTCGTGGTCACGTTGAGGCATTGTTCACATCGGTTGAAGAGGCGGATACAACTCTCCGCACGCATCACGCTACGCTACGACCAGAGAGCAATGAAAATTGCGAAGACGGGAAAAAATGTTAAAATGATTTCCACGCGTACGTAGTCGCGGGCACGACACCAGAGGGCCTAGTGTGAGTGTCCATCAAACGCGCTCACAAGTGAGCGCGCCAAAAAATTACATTAAATGTATGACGGATTGTACAGCGCCCCTAGCGGGAAACGTTCAAAAACTGAAATTCACACTCAGCCCACAGAGTTAAATGAGCTTAAGAAGTTAAGACGCATTTAACAAGTATATTAAGTCCATTTTTAAATAACTAATATGAGACATATTTTAAAACTCATACTCACTAGCATTCGTTCTCATATGACCATCCATCGCTGCCGCACATGGGGTTAAAGTCGCGTACATCACACTCGCATTCTTCACACTTCACTGTCATCAGATTTGCGATGACCAGCAATACAGCGAGGGCTGAAAGCAAATAATCACACCTGATGATACGGGTTAACATGGCCCGACGGATTAGCAAGCTGAAGTGGCAGTGGGCTGGGCACATAGTACGCAGAACTGACGGCCGATGGGGCAGCAAGGTTCTGGAATGGAGGCCGCGTGCCGAAAAACGCAGCGTGAGACGTCCACCCACAAGGTGGACCGACGACCTGATAAAGGTAGCAGGAAGGCGCTGGATGCAGGCCGCTACCAACCGTGCGATGTGGAAATCATTGGGGGAGGCCTATGTTCAGCAGTGGACGTCCTATGGCTGAAATGATGATGATGATAATGATTATACAGGTTTGAAGTACATTATTGAGAAGATCAGTTAAGTTCGGCTTCCACCAAGGCGGAGCGGAGCAGAGAAATGGTTTGAATAACCAGTCAGATTTCGTTCCATCAATTTCATTCAAACTGAATGACCTTTGATTGTTCTCTCGCCTTGGTGGAAATGGGTCCTAAAACCACGATGTCGTCACCAAATTATTAACGAATGCTTAGTCGTTTTAACATTGTGTATACTATCGGGGAATCGAACCCTTCTGAGTACAGAGAGTCCATTTCTGTAGCCAATGGAACGCACAGGCTTTAAAGATTCCCTCGTTCTAAGGGTTTTTGAAAGAAATAACCCCCCTCGCTCGTTAGATACTATATCTTTTAGTTGGCCGATAGTTGGGCCCGATTTTTATTTGTATGAAAAATCGGCCGATACCAAAACGGTGTAATTTGTTCATACCATCTCCATACTGATTAACATACCGACCCAACTATCGACCAACTAAAAGTCTGTGGTCTGCGCCCAGGCTAATATTCCAGCGTTGACAGAAGAACCCGCTTTCCTCGCGTCTCAATTTGGCCTTGTACACAACACTAAATTGCTATATGGGCGGGCTATTACTTCAAGTTCAGTTCTAAAGCCTGGTCCGTGAGCACGTAGAAAGAATCCCGTCCAATGACCCCAAGTTACCCATCCCTATCGCTCGCGCGTAATTATCTTGCTGTCGCGCTCGCACACTCACTGCGCGCGCCCGTCGCACAGTCGCGTGGGGTCATTGGACGGGATTCTACGTGCTCACGGACCAGGCTTTAGAGATTACAAAATTCAATATTTAAAAATATTTAAACAAAATTCAATATTTAAAAATATTTCAATCACATACTTCATGTACAATCAAAAACTGTCATTAACAATTAATTAAACAAATAATGTCTATATAGCCCGACCAGGAACATAAAAACCCTCGCCATGTTGCGGAAAACTAATGGTACTAATTTCTTTTAATGGCAACAGTAACTGAAAACTTCATTGACTTGTCACCTTGCATGTCAGTCTATTGCTGTCAAAGTGTAAACAAACTTTATTTTAAATGTGTGCAATTGATTTTGTGAATTAAATTGCTAAAATCTTATTAAAGTCGTGAAAGAAAAGTGGTTCACAATGTGTTAAAGTATTTGTCGAAGAGAAATACTAAGGGTTCGGACAATATTTTCATTGAATAATGTTTCCGACAAAGGTTGTCAAATTGACTGACATGTTTATCGTATAGTACAGTCCACTATGAAAATTAGCTGTGGTTTGTTTCAACTACCTATTTTAAAATTAAATCACATGCAGGAAGTACCACAAAACGAACTAAACAATAAATCTGTTTACTTACCACACCATGCAGTCGTGCGAACTGAAAAGGAAACGACAAAAACCCGCGTTGTTTTTGATGCATCGTGCAAGGGCTCAAACAATATATCGCTCAATGATGAACTGATGAATGGACCTGTCCTGCAAGAAGATCTTAGAAGTATCATCATGAGGTGGAGAATGCACAAGGTCTGTTTTGTGAGCGATATAGAGAAGATGTACAGAATGATTCTCATTCAAAAAGAAGACGCCGACTTCCAGAGAGTATTGTGGAGACAGAATACTTCAATATCTGACGAGGTCAAACACTACCGGCTACTTACAGTCACATTTGGGACAGCATCAGCGCCCTATCTCGCTATAAAAACACTAATGCAGCTGTCAGAAGACGAAGGTGAAGACCATCCTATTGCCAAGAGAATTATACGCGAAGACTTCTACGTTGACAAAACATGTTGGACTTGACATTTTCTATCGACCATTTTGTTACCATGTTTCTGAGCAAATAAATGATTTATTATTATTATTATTATTGATGATGTGATGTACGGGTGTGATACTGTCAAAGAAGCCATAGAGGCAAGCAAGCAATTGAAGACTGTACTAAGCAAGGGAAAATTCAGATTACAAAAATGGTGTTCAAACAGTCCTGAATTTCTAAAATCTCTTGATGAAGGAGAAAAGTCAGCCAAAGCACACATAGATATGAAATTAGATGGAATCGTAAAGGCACTTGGCGTATCATGGGATTTGGGAAAA